TCAATTCGTGCTTAACTTCAGTATGTGTGCATCACCTGTAAAAGAGAACACAACTGATATATAGAGAGTTAGTAAATAAAGATTAACTAGAAGTCTAATGCAGTTCTAGTTATCTTCAACTTCTAACTCTTTCCTTATCTTGGATAGAGTTCTCTTCAAGTAAGGAGTCTTGCTCCTTATCAAATATGCAACATTTTCGTTCAGGGATTATCAGAAATAACCACTTATACTTATCATTTTCACGTACATGTCTTTTACTTGATTCTGCCTGTCACCTGTATACACTGTCCATGGACCTGATTCATGCATGTGTTCCTTTGTCAATCATCAAAACAAACTTACTTAGGCCAACGACCCCTCATTGACAAGAGACCATGTTCTTCTTACAGAAACATAATCCAAATCATAGTTACCACGTATGAGTCATGCAACTAATTAGACTTCAAACATAAAGAGAAATTAAACAGAATATTGCATGCAATACCATCCTTCAACAATGTTCTACCATCTTATAATCAGATGATATGCTTCAATTAGAAAAAAAATTATTTGTTCACGCCAATATGCTTTCCTCGTAGGCGAGGAGTATTAAAATTGTCTAAATAAAGATTATGGACTTAGTGCTTCGGACAAATTTACTGGCTATAAATTTGGACATGCATTTAGATTTCATATTAGGAAACTTCAATCATTTAAGCATAGTCTACAAAGGGCTCCACCACAAAGTTATTTCTCATATAGACCTGCATATAAATTCTAGACCAGCATGATTTTTTTTGGATGGGGTTTTTTTTTTTTTTTGCGGGTGCCCCCTGGATTTATTTGTAGTATTTATATTTGCCCCTATAGTTTTGTAAACGGGCAAAGTGCTCATTATTCTTACAATAGGTAATGACGTAATCATGAACCCTCTATAAGAAAATGTACACAATAACATAATAAATTCTTTAGTAATTACTACCCCCTTCGTTTTATTTTACAGACTAGTATTTTGACTAAGCATGAAATTTAAGAATAAAAAATTTATTATAACTAGTACATTTATGATCTTAAACATATCATGATTTTTTTATGAAATGTTTAAAGTGAAAGAGTCATATAAAATAGAGCAGAGGAGGTACTAACTTTGACAGATGTTAGAAGATTAATAAGTGTTAGGTAATAAATATTGACTATTTTTGTCACAAAGTGTGTAGATGTGCATATGATTTATGTTGTTCATCTTATAATACTGATAAATTTCACGAGACAAGAGTTGAATTAGTTGAATCGGAGAGATTATGTGTAATTATTGTTGTTATATATAATTCGTTTTTGTTATAGGGTTTTCCTAAAACCTGGCAGATATTAAGGTACTTCTTCTTTAATCTTTTGACTTGATGGTTAACACGTATCCATAATTTAGAAAAGAACTTGATAAATCGTTATTTTTATTTGGTAACGAGATATAAATAGGATTAGCTGTCAAGTTTTGTCTTTTGTTTTCTATCTTACACATGATAAACATAGGATAGAGGTAGACAAGATCTTGTATTAGTTCCTAAGTTGCTCGGATTGAGTGCTGGAATTTGATACAGGTACGGATCTAGAAATCAGATCTTTCATGATCTATCTTTAGGATTGAGAGGTACAGATATGAGTACGAAAATTCGGTTAAAAATAATTCAATATTTTAAAATCGAATTATAAAAATATGACTAAATAATGAGACATTATGTGACAACTTAAATGACGGCTATAACGAAGATGGAGACAAAAGAAAAAGACTAACATATAAATTTCTACTTACAAGGTATTCTATTTTTTTCAACTTCACCCTAACTTTTGTTTTGATTTCAGAAATCACTATATTTGTCCCGAATTTTTCCATTGATTTTGGTCAAAGTATCTAAAATCGATTGACCAGATTTAGTACGGATCCTATATCCACATCTACATCCATGTCGTATGGATACGGATGCGACACCGAAAATAAAAAGTCTGGGCAACTGAAAATAGTTCACACGCGCGAAAAGAGTATATTTCAAAACAATGTCACACCTACATTGAACTAATTTCTCCTTCCCTTTTTCAACATTTTGCAACAAAAAACAAGCTCTACGAGGATCTTATTTATTCTCACTCGAAGATATCAGCACCTCTGAATACATATTTCAAAAGGATTTTCTACTACGGCTAGAAACATAAAAGAAAATTACTACTAATATAAGAGTTATTACACATAGAAGCAAAATTCAAGTAAAGTAAAAACCTCAAAAATACAAAATACTACTTCACATAATATGCACTACATATATAAACTCTGTATTACTAGAGAAAATACCTCGAGCCAATGTTCGAATATAGACATTACAACACTGAAGTACCAAGTTGTATTGCTCAAGCTTTCCAAAAGAGTCTCTAGGCATGTGCCGGATCTTTCAAAAGTAGTACAATTGTGGAGGATCCGACACGGCGGGTCCTCCTGAGACCATAACTTGTAGCCTATCTTCACTACTAGAAATTCGCTATTTTTCGACTACCAAAATAGTCGGAAAGTAATCGGAAAAGTACCTATTTCGACTACTTTCCGATTGATTTAGAGTAGACGAAAAAATATAGGTCGGAAAAGTTTTTTCGCCAAAAATTCAAAAATGGAGCTATTTTCCGACTGAAGTAGTCAGAAAATTAAAAAAATTATTATTTATTTTAAAATATATTTTCGACTACTGTAGTCGGAATGTCATATAAATAATAATTACTTTTTAGGTATTTTTATTTTATTTTCCGACTACAGTAGTTGAAAAATACATTATTCTAGGCACATTTTTTTACTACAATAGTCGGAAAACTGTGTTGATTTTTGGCAGAATACTGCCATTTTATTAGCACACCACCTATCAAATGACCAATACTATAACCAACCAATTCCAACTGCACAACCAATTCCAACTAAACAACCTAATAATCAAACCAACAAATTTCAACTTCAACAAACAAACACTCAAATACCATAATATCAAGCCAAAACATTAATGAAAGTCTAAATATTCAATATCAAGTCTAAGTAGCTAATACACATCGACACTAATATAATAAAGTCTAAACATATATACCATATCATCCAAATCTACCAGAAAGTCTAAATATAAAATCTAAACATCCAAGAATAATAATCAACTATAAACCACTACTACGCATCAGATTCAGTCTCTTCATCGTCATAAGAGTGAGGCATGTGTTTTTCATCTATTTATCCACTCTAGCAACTCAATTTGCTTTCACATTGCTTCCATTTCTTCCTAATTTTGCGCAGTAGGAGCATCCGAAAATAATGGCGATGGACGAAAAGAGGAAGGTTGTTGTACTCCAAGCCCGTAAACTCTTTCTTTGGATACACCACCTGCCACATCCATCCATATTGAAGTCATATCATCGGATGACGGTTGGATTGGGGTACTATCATCAGAAGTAGGCTGCGTTTGACACCATTCATCCAAGATTCTATGATATCCATCCTGAAATAAAAGTAATAAAGGTTATATAAATAAATTAATATCAAAGTGAAAATAGTCTTAAAGTTATGATCTTACATATTGTTCTGATGCACGTGTATCAACCCATCCTTCTCTTGATTTTATCCATCATGCTCATCCGGAACGATAATCAGCCTACTATATACATCATATTGTGGAGTCTCTCTATCACTTCGACCCCGAGAAGCTACTAGTATAGCACTACCAATGGATGGTGATGTTGGTGGTCTAGAGACTCCAATATTTAACCTAGATACGCTAGGTGTGCTTGATGACGAAGATACAACTGGAGTCGATGAAGTAGGCAGTGCTGAGGAGCTACCTTGTTGACTAATATAAAAATCGGGAGAATAATTTATATTTGGTGTGCGAATAAAATTAAGGTTAGAGCCAGAGTTCGTGCCAAGTGAAGACATAGTTTTTACATTTGGGAAAAGCTCTTTCAATATCCTTGATAGCTATCCCTCTTTCAAGAGTTTTTCACATGCATATCTATGGTCTATATTAAGTTTTTCTCAACAGACCATTTGACAAATGAAGGAGAAAAAAGTTGGTGTTAAACGCGTGGGCTATAAATCATAACAGAAAGATAAATGAACATAACTGAGCAATTTGTAAATCATAACCAAAAACAACCAGCATTCATGTTAAACAGAAAGTACATAGTTCGTAAGCTAGTTCATGCCAATAGAAATAAATGTCTCAATGAAGCAGAATCGCTTAGATAAGCATTGGATCTTCAAATTAAGTTGACACTAATAGATACAATGTAGACATTTAAGAGAAAATTTGTTACCTAAATCAAGCTCTTCAAAGGGCGAAAATTGGCAGTAGCTTCCTTGGAGGAGCAAGAATCAGTCTCCTTCACTTGGATTTCTCAAGTTTAGAGGTAGTCTTTGAACTTTAATTTAAGAAAAAGAGATCGGATTACTTAAGTATGATGGTTTATAATAATGTTTAGAGAATGGTTTTGCTAATTGAAGAAAGAGAGAGAAGCTTCGCCTAATCCGGCGAAAGAACGGTCAACTTACTGAAGTGGAGTGACTGGCAGTGGAGTGGTGGAGTGGTTGAGAGCAGCGTTAGGCGGTGAGAGAGAGAGGGGACTGAAAAAGAGAGGAGATGAGCGAAATAAAACCTAGTTGTGCAATTATTTTATTTTTTCTGACTACCGTAGTCGGAAATTTCTTTTTTATTTTGGTAAACAATTTGTTGACTTATTTTTTGATTATAGTGGTGGGCATCTTTAGTCGATTATTTAATTAAAATTGTGACCATGAAATTTGTGCATTGTCCGACTACTGTAGTCGGAAAAATAAAAATTAATTTTTTAGAAGTTACGACTACTGTAATCGGAAGATTGTTCAAACTTTTTTATTGACTTTCTCCCGACTATAGTGGTCGGAAAAATTAATTCCCGGTATTTTGCGCTAAATTTTATGACTACTATAGTCGAAATGGCAGTCGCCTACAAAATAAAAATAATAATTATAATTTTTCGACTACTATAGTCAGAAAATTATGACTATTATTTTGTAGTCGTAATTTGTAGTCAGAAAATAGCATTTTTCTGATAGTGCTTGCTTTGACTTGCCTTGGAGATAATCCCTCCTCTGATATATCAGAAAACAAATCAATACTTTTAGACAAGGCATAGACAATTTCCACCATACTTGGCCTTTTTGAAGGATCTTTATTCAAACAAGAAATGGCCACAGACATTACATTCATAACACTCTCCATTGTACATTCCTCTCTAAGAAGACTATCATCCATCCATTCTTGCAATTTCTTCACTTTTCTCTCTTCACTCCCTTCCAAGATTTCGCCAACTTTAGCCCACAAAACTTTCCCTTCATCGTCGATAGCTTCTCTCCCTGACATAAGCTCGAGCAACACAACCCCGAATGAGAAAACATCCATTTTAGTCGATACAATACCATCGGTGAGATACTCGGGGGGCAATGTAGCCCTGAGTTCCTACAATGTGCATCGTTATCGCATTGCAGCCTAATTTAGCAAGTCCAAAATTGGTAACTTTGGCTCTCTTGCTTTGTTTTTTGTCGTGTGGAGAAAGGTGTGTTAAAAAAAATAATGGAGCTAAGAAGTTTATATATACGAAATTCTTGTGTTTTTCTTATAGTCTTGGTTTTTGACCATTAATGGGAGATAGGTTTTTTTTTCATTTGATTGGTGTTTGTTGTTTAATTTCTCATATGGTCTTGTCTGGAACATTGATGGAAAATGTAGGTTTTCCAATTTGACGGTCCCACATAGAAGACTTTTTGGTCAACCTTATTGCAGAAAATACTCTTATTTATCTTTTGTTGTTTTCTGCATATTATTAGACTGCAAAATGTTTTCACATGTTTGGACTTGTTATCAGCCTTTTAGACACATCATTTTCTAATAAAGTAGTATAAGTATATATAAAAATATCACAACAGTGGAAATATTAGAAAATTAAGAGGGTTTGGCTTCTTTATGATTGGAATGTTTATTAGACTAGAAACTCAACTTTTTTTAGGTATGGAAAAATATCATATTATTATAAAAGCAGTATTAGACAAAAAAAATTCCAAAATCAAAAGCCAACTTTGGTCAAGAATCCTATAATACCAAATTCCAAATTCCAAACTCCATTGCTTTAAAGGACTTTGAGAGAAACCGTACGAAACCTCAGTTTAATGAATTGTCGTGTCTCAATATAATATGTGGATGACTTGGATATATATTGGAAGACCAAGACTTTTAAACTTGACAATGGTGCCTCGGCGTATTGGAGAGGTCATCAAAAGGACTTGTCATCAAAGCTAAGTGTCTGTTTCTATATCACTGCAGTTACAGTGAAAGTCTTGACTAAGTTCATTTGAACAAGTCAAGGTCACTTTCTCTTCTTTTTTTTAAAACAATGGTGTCCGGATATTGCATGTATCTCTATTATTCTAACCAATCCCAACGAGAATAGAAGCGAGTCGCTTCCGGCCTGTCTTGTAGTTGTAGTCTTTTAGCTTATATAGTCGTCGGCTTTCCTACACGCATGCGTCCGCCAGAATGCCTCCTTGGTTCGGAACGAAGCCAAGCTAATACATACGATAGACGAAAGAAAGATCCCCCATTTCATAGCGCCTGGGGAATACAAGTTTGATCGAGGTTTGGATAGGAAAGGTGGAAGAAAGGGCCCGGGATGGATTTAGGAGTCTTTGTGCGTGCCGTATGCGGTGAGAGTCGCACATACGGTAACGAGGGGGGTTCGCGTCTATACGTGCAGTATGGTGCTTAAGCCTATCCACCCTATTTGTTCCATGATCTATGGGTCTAATGGAGTTACCCACTTCGATCAATTAGCCAAGATTTTGACCGGATACGAAATCACTGATGCTCGATCTAGTGGTATTTTTATGGGGATTCTATTTATCGTTGTAGGATCCCTATTCAAGATCACTGCAGTTCCGTGTGCTAGTAAAGTTACACAGTGGTAGTTGAAAATACTGGGAACCTACATATAAGGTGCAAGAATCTTTTAATGGCGTGAGGCTTTTTGGTAAAAATTATGCGGGCTAGCCCGATGCGAATAATATCACACTATGTTAAGAGTATTTGCGGGCTGGTTGAACCCAACAATTGCTATCAGAGCTGAGGTTCGACGGGACGAGTATGATGATGGCAGATAAATACTCTGATAATGCGGAATGTGGGCGACACACAGTGAATCTCGAAATGGTGGTGATGAGTCACGTAGAACTTAGTTCGAAGTACGGATTTGGCCTAAAATGGACAGTATCGCACTATGTTATCTTTAGGCCGTTTTAATCCAAAATTATTGCATAATGTTGCCTCTCAAGTAACTACGTCCGTCAAAACTTGGATAGATGATTAAAAATTAGTAATATTTTTTTTCCAAAGAAAAAAAGTCGTGCTCTATCCCCTAACGAGTGGAGTTAGAAATATGAAAGCACCAAACAAGAAAAAGAGCACATGATGAAAGAAAGCACATAGGATAGTTGAACATGACAATTTTTGCTCCAATCAAGCTTCATCTCGCGCATTTGTTACCTTTGCTGATTGGTAATTAATTAAATCAGTGAGCATGTCGACATTTCTATTGCAGCCAGTGGCGGAGCCACTCATTGGCAAGGGAGTAAATTGACACCCTCCGTTCGAAATTTATACCGCATAGATACCAAACTTTCTGGTTTCACCTTTTCACTTACTTTCAAATTCATCAGTACTAGTATCATAGTTAATGGACCTAATCTTACAAGTAGGAAAGATCTTTTAATTGGGTGAAATTCAAAAATAGCCAGATTTACAAGTGGTAATTCAAAAATAATCACAATTTTAAAAGTAATCGAAATTTAGCCACTTTTTGTGTAAAGATAAATCTGAACGAAAACACTGTTCAAAATTCGAAAAATATTCCAGCATAATATACCGGAGTTCGATTTTTTTACATGTGAACTTCCAGCATAATATACTGGAGTTCGAGTATATTATGCTGGAACTCTAGTATATTACAATGGAATTCCAGTATAAATACACTGAAACTCTATCATAATATACTGGTCCAGCATAATATGCTGGAAGTTCATACACATGTGCTCCAATCTCCCGTATATTATGCTGGAACTCTAGTATATTACAATGGAATTCCAGTATAAATACACTGAAACTCTATCATAATATACTGGTCCAGCATAATATGCTGGAAGTTCATACACATGTGCTCCAATCTCCCGTATATTATGCTGGAATTTTTCATGTTACAGTATAATAGTGGCTATTTTTTAATGACTTTACAAATACTGACTATTTTACAATTACCAATCCAAAAACTGACTAACCCGTGCTATTTTTACCTTTTAATTCCTCTTGACTTGTAAGTCTTCGTTAGGTATATTTGGCTCAACATGTGGTTAGGAATATTTGGCCCAACATGTGGTGAGACAGACTTGACAGTTACCCTTCAGCAAAAGACAAATTCAGAATTTTAAGTCACTGAGAAATTCTTTCTTTTTCCTAAAAATAACTCATTATTCATCACTAGAACATGCGAAAGATATAACTAATAAAATATTATTCCCGCCAATATTGCTGTATTTGTAAATAATAATTCTGCAAAATATAAGTTAACGTAATGAAACAGTAATTAATTCGAGCCCACTGAATTCACAGTGTTTCCTTAAGGAATTTAATCCCCTCCTAGTACCCAAGGTAATGGATTATTTCCTCCCAGGATAGAACGAATCACACACTGGTGTAGCGGTACTTCAAACCCCAGTATTTCAGCGAACACAAAGTTCGGTAGCAAATCACACTTATAGTTGCTTTGTTTGAAGTTAAAACAATGCAGAACAAAGGAGTAGAAACTCAGAAAATCGTATGAAAATGCTGAGAGGAAGGAGTGCAATATATAGCCAAATCTGTTGAGCGATTTTCAGTTTGTTGTTCTTGTGTGTTGTGTGTTGTGTGTCTTTCTTCAACATCCGCTGCACATATATATAGCAGTCAGTGTTGAAGAAGACCAAACGTCCACCCTCAATGGTGGAGCAAGCATTACCTTGTTTGTGGAGCAAGCACATTCATGTTTGTGGAGCAAGCACATTCATGGTGGGAAGAGCATTAGGCGGCTGCCAAATGGTCAATACACGGATTGAAAAATATCTGTTATAAATGCGGATAATCTTACGTTAATATTTACTATTAACAAATAAATTTTGTCCAAAAAATTAATTAATCAATCGATCATTTGACCAAATTCAAATTCAAATCTAAATCCAAATCCAAATCCAAATCCAAATCCGAAGCCGAAGCCGAAGCCGAAGCCGA